GAGGAGGGAGGGAGGTGTCAGTGATGGGCCATAATAATCATATACAGTGTATATTGACAAATTAAAAATTTAACGAAAAAAAAAAATCATGTTCCAATATTAGTCATTTAGAATGACCATTATAAACAATATATTATTCCTGATCCCTGGTTTTGAATGTAGAGACTGTTATATATCTCTCTCCAGAAGCCAATTATCCCAATTTATAATTCTTTTACTTAAACTGCTCTTTTCCAGGCCATCACAAATCTGTCAAAAAACAAAGGAAAAATATAACAAACCAAAAATTACCTGGGCCTCAATCATTTTCTTTTGTGCTCAGGAAATAGTGGATAATATGGATCCTATAAATTTTGTCCCTTCTGCATCTGCCATGAAGTTCTTAAGGTCAGAAATCTTGGTATCCAGTTAGAGTTGTCCCCAGAAATGATGATATCCAAGGTCAACAATTTCCTCCTTCTTCCTTCATTCCTTCACTTGATTCCTTCATTCCTTCACTCTTGTTTCTGGGGAGCCAGGACCTGTGGGTTGAAAAACAAATTGACTTTAAGCATACATGTACTATGGGTCCAGATGTCACCACTGCAGTGTAGTGACCTTAAATAAAGAACCCCAATATTTCTAACTGTTCCTTTACTTGGTGCATCACGGGCTTTCACACCCTGGAGCAATAAAACAAGTTTCTGGATGGGTCACCAGCAACTTTACTGGAGCCACCTGCAAAAATTCAGCCAGGGTTCACATTCTTGCCACCTCTACTCAAAGCTGCACGGACTGATCCAGAAATAAGGCCTCAATATGTTCCACCAGTGTTTCTGTCAGTATGTGAAGGATATAGGCTTCACTAAGTTGGACAAAGTGATCTTCTCTGAATGGATTATCCAAGGCATCTGTCCAACAAAAGAAACTATGCTAGCTATGTACATAAAATGAAGTTTTAAAAAATTAAATGAAACAAGTTTCTCAATGTGTGAAAGGTATGGTTTCTTTTGTGAAGTAGAAGTGGTATGACTATTAAAGAGGAGGTGGGAAAGCAAAACCAGCACAGCACAATGCCTCAGAGACAGGTGAATTTTCAGGCAGATCAATTTCAGTAGAGAACATATGGAAGGTTCCACTGATTTGGACACTGTGTTTAAATAGTATGTGTGCCCATGTATTGCTTCGAAAGTCTCTGCATGCTCAGTGGGTCCACACACCTCAACTTGAAGCCCAAAGTACTAATAAGCAAATCATAAGAATTGTCTTATTTTATATCACATACTAAAGGATTAACTTTACCTAAGAGAGATTTGGTCTTTGCCCTCAGTTCCTCTGCAGTAACCTCTAAGCCCTGAGAATGTCCTGCCTGATGAGAGTATTTGCTTACCTGGGTAGCTTGGGCCATGCCGAATTATTTATGTTAATAATATGATTTATGGTGAGGGTTATTGAGCCATGTGGTATTAACTAGATTTCTGGAGGAACTGGAGACTAAGGTCAGCCATATAAGCAGTCAGTCGTGTCTATGTTAATTGAGCCCCAATAAAAACCCTGGACACCAAGGATTAGGTGAGTTTCCCTGTTGGCAATAATGATTAACAGGTGTATATATGAAGAAGATATGATTATTACAAATCTATACACATCTAACAAGATAACTCCAAAACGTATGAAACAAAAACTGACAGAATTGGAGAGGAACAGACAATTCAACAATCATAGTTGAAGATTTCAATATTCCACTGTCAATAATAATTAAAACAAATAGAAAATCAGTGAGGACACAGAAAACTTCAAAAACATAATCAGGGCCGGCCCGGTGGTACACTCAGTAGAGTGCGGCGCTTGAGAGCACGGCGGCGCTCCCACCGAGGGTTCAGATCCCATGTAGAGACCGGTCCGCTCACTGGTTGAGCACGGTGCGGGCGCAACACTGAGGGTTGCGATCCCGTTGCCGGTCGCGGTACGGGCACGACACCGAGGGTTGCAATCCCATTACCGGTCATGAAAAAAGACAAAAAGGAAAAAAACAAAACAAAACAAAAAACCCATAATCAACTTGACTTAACTGGCATTTATTTAACACTATCTTCAACGGCAGCAAAATGTACATTTTTTTCCAAAGGTACATGAACCAATCTCCAAAGAAGACATTATGCTAGGATATAAAATAAGTGTCAAATAATTCAAAATATATTTTCCAACCACAGCAGAATTGAATTAAAAATCAACTTTAAGGCTGGCTGATCAGCTCAGTTGATTAGAAACACAGTGTTGTAATACCAAAGTCACGGATTCAGATCCCCATACCTGCCAGCTGTCAAAAAAAAAAAAAAAGTAATCAACTTTAGAATAAAATTTAGGAAATACCCAAACATTTGGAAATTAAACAGCACATTTCTGAATAACCATAGGTTAAAAAGAAAATCACATGGGAAATTGCATAATATCTTGAACTGAATGAAAACAAAATCAACATCAAAATTAACTAAATGTCCCTAAAGTAGTACTTTTAAAAAACTTACAGCTTTAAATCAGAAAAGAAACTAACCTATATCAGAAAAGAAAAAAAATCTCAGATCAATACTGTAACTTTCCAACTTGATAAACTAGAAAAAGAAGAGCAACTTACACCCAAAGGAGGCAGATTGAAGAAAATAATAAAGATCAAAGTGGAAATAAATGAAATAGATTTTTTAAAATTTAAAGAAAATCTGTGAATCAAAAGGTGATTATTTGAAAATGTCAACAAAATTGACACCCGTAAGACTGACCAAGAAAAAGCGAAGACACAAATAACCTAAATCAGGAACGGATGTGTTATCATCACTGATGACCCTACAGAAATTAAACAGTTTAATAAGGAAATGTCATGAATAACTTTATGCCATATAGGTACAGATACAAATATCGATCTTTCTGTATGTATGTATGTGTGTGTGTATGTAATTTATTTCTTCCTAAGTATTTGTTCAACTAAAATATAGACAGATATCTATATCTTAGATGAAATGAACAAATTTCTAGGAGACAAATTAGCAAAACTGACAGAAGATTTAAATGAAAATCTGAATAAATATATGACAAGTAAAGAAACTATTTACTAATTAAAAATCATCCCACAAAGAAAAGCCCACACCCAGATGGCTTCACCTAAGAAGCCAGTATTGCCCAGATATAACCCAGATACCAAAGCCAGACAAAGGAATCACAGAAAAAGAAAACTATAGCTCTCACTCCTTCTCTTAGGATTCTTGCCATGTGACAGACATCCCGTGTTGCTGTAGAGAGCCATTACCAAGAAAAAGTTCCTCACCAGAAGTGTTCCCTGGACTTTAGACTTCCGAAACTCAGCCACTTATTGAGTACATGATGTGCTCAGGCCCTGTGCTGGAGGCTGAGATCATACAAATACCGATCAGTTGCATTGAATAATGCTTCTTGAAGAAAAAATGGCGACGGGTCTGGAGCGCCCGCGTCAGGAAACAGCGCGATCCTGAGAGCTGTGTGCTGTGATACCAGAGTATTGACTGCATTTCCAAGAGCAACAAAGGACGAATAAATCTTTCAACAACGATCCTACATCGACAAATAAGCGGCAGCGGGTTCGAGGTTTTGGAGGCGGCATGGAGAAGGACTCCTGCGGGTGCCCAGGCCCGGCTGCGGGAACAATATTGGTGGCCCACATGGCAAAGGCCGGGAGAGCCAGCGGAGGAACTGCGCAGAGGCGATCTGAAACACGCCGGAACGGCCCACCCTGCGTTCTCCGTGAGTCACCCCCAGCAAAATCCCACTTGCGGGGCGAACCCCGACTACTCGCCCGCCTGGCCCCCACCCATCACACCAGGCTGGGCGCCCACAACAAAGCTGCCTCCATTTTCTAGGGTGGGGTCGAAGAAGGCCGGCATAGTGACGGCAGGCCAGTCATCTCTGTCTGACGTAGCTCCCCATTGGGACGTGCTATTTGCTTACCTCGACGCTGAGCACCCCGGGGCCTGTGGACCGGCCTATAGTCCCACTCTTCCCGTGGTTCTCAGACGGGGCTGGTAGCGTGGGAAGGTCCCGGCCAGCCTAGGGGGGGCTGGGAAGAGAAGCCCGCCCAGATCGTCTCTCCGCCACACCCTGGGCGCCGGCCCCAGATAAACTCCCTCTTC